CCCTCAACCCCCTGCAGCCCCCTAAATCTTCCCCTTAATCTCCCTCTTCCACCTCTCATCCACCATAACCACCTCCCTCCTCTGCACGCCCAGCCTCCCCTCCCTCTCCCTCTCCCACTCCGCCCTCCACCTCCCCAACTCCGCCTTCAAAAACCCCCCCACCGCCTCCGCACACCCCCCGACCCTCTCCATCGCCACCAAATGCCCACAATCCAGCACCACCTCCTTCACCCTCCCCTTCGCCACGCCCCCACTACCCCCGACCCCACACCCCGTCCTCTCCATCTTGGCCCTCCTCTCCGCCGCGCTCGACATCTCCGACGTCTCGCCAAACACGTACAGCACGCCGGGGCGCAGCTCGGGCAGGCGCGCGAACGCGTGCAGCGGCTCCGGGCGGTAGAAGGCGTACGCGGGGCTTTTGCCGCGCTGTTCGTGGCCGGACCGAGCCCGAGGAGGGAGGGGTCGAAGTCGCGCAGGTCGCGGTGGGGGAGGTAGGTCGGGCGGAGGAAGGTGAAGAGTTCTTGGTGTTTGGTGGTGGTGAGGGTGACCGGGGGGTCGGTGGCGTTGGGATTGGGGGTGGTGGCGGTGGGGGAAGTCCTGGCGGCCCCCGGGGGATAGGGGTACAGCTCGGTGGGAAGGGCGCGCAGGCCGTGGCGCACCCACAGGTCGAGCACGCGCGGGTCCCAGGCGCGGTAGAAGGGAGACTTGGCGAAGCGGGCGGCGGCGGCGGCGCGCGAGTCCCAGATGTCGCGGCGGTTGGTGGAGGCGGCGGCCGGGCCGATGCCGCTGTGCGTGGTGGTGATGACCGGGTCGAGCAGGGCGAGGGAGTGTAGCAGGCGCGGGTGGCAGAGGGCGAGGTATGTTCTGGGAGGAGGGTGGTTGAGTTAGTCTGTGCTGGGAACATTGAAGTGGCTGATCTTGGCTGGGAAATGGGCTTACAGCTGTGCACCGCCCATGCTGTGGCCGATGCCGACGAGCGGTTGCGGCATCTCATCGCGCTTCAAGTTGATCAGGTTGGCGAGGTCTCTGGTGTGATCCCACCAGCTAGCTGTATGGCGCTGTCAGTTTGAACTCTCAGCCTTGGACTGCCTGGAGGCTGGAGCCCCTTACGGTCATTGCCGAGGATTTTCTCGTTCAACACCCCCGACTGGCCCTGGTTCCACATGTCGGCAATCCAGATAGACCGGATGCGGATGCCAGTCTCTGAACTCCTCTTCTGGAGGTCATCCCAGAGGGGCTCGTATAGTTCCTTTTTGGATGTCAGAACTTGGAATTGGAGGTTGAGACTTCATTCAATTGAAACCCTTGAAACGGTTGAAACCGTGCGGGTTAATCACCTTGGGAAAGCCATTCGCATGGGCGGCAATGATTGTCACGTCGCCGGGTTGGGGATTCGGATTGTCGAGTGGGATGTATTGCTTCACGGCGAGTCTCGGCCTGTCGGCGTCGCCATTGGCGGTCGCGGTAACATATTCGCGAGTGTGAGCGCAATTGATGGTGTGCTCGACCACGCGGAAGAACTGTGGCATTTCGAAGGCTGGCAGGGGTGGTTGGCGGGGAGTTCGGATGACAATGTATCCCAAGATAGATGAATGAAATAAAGGCAAAAGTTAAGCTGAATGGTGGTTGACGGCCTGTGGTTGTTGCCAGCTGGTATTCTCTTCCCCTGCAAGTTTTCTTGGCGAGACTTCCCGTCTGAACCGCCAACAGCCTCGGCCCATGTGGCCGGTGGGACTCGGTTATGCTTCCGAGACTCAATCGCAGTGGTGATTCGGTTAAGCTTCTCCGCATCAGCGAATTACACTAGCATGCGCATGTGGGTGTATGGGATTGTTTTCATAGCCTCACCAATATGGAGTCATCTACAACCCCGGGGTAAAAGCCTCTTTTTAGAAATTAGTTACCTCGTTAACATTTCAGCCCCATGTTTCTCAATTTTGACTCTACCCTTTTTTAATATATCATAAAATGGTATCTGTTCGAACAAGCACATTGCTCGCATCCTTTTTTGGTTGCGCTGGGGGGGGGGGCTCTTGTTCTCTCCTTTTTTCGTTTTATGGATCAGATATGTTGTTGGCGGCGCGAAGTACATACGTACATACATTTAACGTAGTTAACTATAGTTAGTTAGAGATTATCAGTGAATCTTGTTGGAAACGACACTCAGACGGAAAGATCGGGGAGAAAAGAATTCATTGATTGTTCTGTCTTCCTCCTCAGTGGCGGGCATCGTCCTGACCTCTTTTTTATGCTTCTTGTTCAGCCCCTGGAATCCCTTTTGCATTAACTAGCGCATCGGCAGTCGAGATTCCGTGTTTCAATTGCCACAACTTCCAACACAAGTATCCGCAAGAAGGTTCCATGTGGCGAATCCAACAAATCTTGGATATGTGGAAAGTGATCGGGGGGGCCGGCGACGCAGTGGAGGGCAGAGAGTAGAAGCGAGGACTGAGTAGCAAGGCAAATTGTAGAAAGGTACCTAAGGTAGGTACCTAGGTAGAGAGCTCAGGACTTCAAGTCGGCCTTCTTCCATGTTCAGAACACAATGGCCAAGTGGAGCTCTCTCCCACAAACCCTCGAGCCCACAAACCAAACTCTGTACATCCATCGATGATCGATGTCGTCATCATTGCATTCATGTTCCTTTCCGCTGAAATTCGATTCTTATGTCTGTAGCCAATAAAAAGGCCACGCTGGAAAAAAACACGCAAGACGAAAGGGAAAGAAAAAGAAGAAAAGAGGGAAAAAACCTCACCGCAAACAAAGCCACCATTCTCACAAACTCTTTCGGCGGCATTTTTTTTTAAAGGCAGCCTCCTTTGGCGCCCTGGAATCCTAGGGCGTTTCAAAATACGCTTTTAGCCCGGTGGCCCCCCGGGTTGGGAAATCCCCCCCCCCCCCCCCCCCCCAAGCCTTCTCACCATACCGCATGATGGCAACCTCGACAGCCTGGCCCGCCAGGTCCTTGACGGCCGGGTTCCGCGAATTCCCACCACAGTCTTCATCCTTGATGGGCTCGCCGCCCTTTGTGCGGAGAGGCAGCCCGCGCTCGAGGGGGATCCGGAACTCGTGGGTGGTCATGTCGATGGCGTGCTCCGAGTCAGTCGCGATGACCAGCCGCGTGCAGTGGTCGAAATCAAACAGTGAGCTCTATGGGGTGCCCGCTCCTGCGTAGCCCCTTTCCCCGTTTTCTCCCCGACCTTTTCCTCTGTACCTATTCTCCATCGCCTCTTCCCCTGCCTTGAAGTTCTCCATCATCGTTAGACCCACCCATATTTGGCCTGGTACAATCCTTACAACACCCCTCGATTTCCTCCCCTTCATTGTTTTTCTTCCCGTCATGAGTCACTTTTCTTCGCTTCATCGTTTTCCTCTCTCTTATCGCTATCCTCAGCGCGCTCCCAAACGCCATCGCCCTCTCCGTTTATAATATGATCGGATAGTAAAGTTTCGACCTAGGTAACTTTGGTCGTTTAGAAACAAAAAGTTTCGACCTAGGTAACTTTGGTCGTTTAGAAACAAAAAGTTTCGACCTAGGTAACTTTGGTCGTTTAGAAACAAAAAACTGTACCGTGGATATGGGGGGCTTTGCCATGATTTGGTTGGAGCCGGCAAGCCAAAAAGGAGTATTATCCGGGGGTTGTGTGGGACTTTTACGCACGAACCCAAGTACGAGATAGATAATACCGGGGAATGTCAAGTCAAACAAACCCCCTGTTCGTGGGTCACGTAATTCTGAGGAGATAGCCTCGGCAGGGCAAGACAAGTCCCTTCTTCGCAGTGTTGACTACGTCGTTGCAAACCGCGGCAAATATACGATCATCAAACATACAAAATTATATTGCTGATTAAAACGCGGGTGACCAAGAAGAAATCTAACCGCCAACGCCTCCCCAAGCCGGCTTTGGGCCGTCGCATCTACGGCTCCTGGTATCTCTGGTGGTAGCGGGTGGGGGACGGACGAGGGACTGGGGTGTAGGAAACGGTCTGTTGCGTAAATCATCAGCAGGTGTTTGGAATCGTACAGCAAGGAGGAACACACCACGTCTCGCTGCACCAGGATCTCCTCCTGCGACTCAGTCGCGTCCGTATTCGAACCGGTTACCGACCTGGGGTTGTGACTGTCTCTCTTGAGCGAGCCGAGGGCCACGCTCTTTGCGCTTTTTACGCTCTTGTGGGTGAAGATGGAGTTCTTCCTTTGGGTGCCCCGGGAGCCGTCGCCGGAGCGGTTTTCGGAGGCCCGGACGGTAGTGGTGATGAGGACTTTGAGGGCGGGAAGTGTGCCGACGAGAAACCGCTGGAAAGGTGTTAGTTAAACCGTTGGGAGATGTGCAATGGCCATGATTTGAGATCAACCGGGGAGGGAGAGCCACTTACATATGGCGGCCGCCAAGGTGGACCAGACCATAAGCATTGTCAAGTCGACAAACCCCTGCTGGGCCAGGCTCTGGTTCGCCCGGATAATGGCAAAGACGATCATGACAAAGCCAAGGCTAAAAACACACACCAGCCCAAGCTTCTGCTTCAGCGACACCTTGACGTTGTAGATGAGGCGCAGCGGCATGGCCATGATGCACAGGTCGGTAAAGACATCGACGGCAGTGCTGAAGTAGACGCTGAAGTTGCTGGACCACACACTCTGAGGCCCCGCGCACTTGTTGAAGGCGAAGAAGTTCCTGACATCAGGCCCGCACGACAGCACGAGGGTGGTCACGCAGCCCCCGTAGGCGAGGAAGGTGAAGACGGCCAGGACAAACCAGAAGCGGCGGTACCATGTCAGGTCGCGGAACAGGCGCCAGTACAGGGCGAGGAAGGCGGCCTTGACGGACCACAGTACGGTCCAGAAGAGGATGACGATGGGGAACTGGAACAGCAGGTAGCGTTCGGTGTGGGCGATGACGGTCTTGAATGATTTGGGCGGGATGGCGCCGGACAACACGCCCGTAATGTAGTATTGGCTGGGCAGTTGGATGGTCTCGAGGATGCATAGGGCTAGCAGTGCGGCGAGGGCCAAGAAGATCCAGCAGTCTTCCAGGGGGGCCACCTGGCGGGTCGCGGGGGAGCGGATGCGGATGACGGTGCGCAGAGCGACGAGGAAGAAGGCGGCCGAGAAGGAAACCCAGATCAGGATGAGGAGGGACTGGTGCGAGAGGTCCCCGACATTGTCGGAGTCGGTCGAAGCCATCGAGGTCTCACGGGATTCGGTCCCGTCTCGGTGGCCACGGACGCGGGTGTCTCAGTCTCGGTGTGCAGCATGGCACGGTCTGGGGGATGGCCAAGACGGACGAGGTCTCAGAATTCAACCAGGGAACCCGGACGAAGCCCAGCAGGGCAGAGAAGCAGCTTTTTGTATATACGCCGCCCTATGCAGGTCCCGACTGTGGGGTTTCCGGCCGTTGGTAAACTGTCACATCCCCAATTTGGCCCCTCGTCGACCCTCGTCCGGATCAGCGAGCTCCCCATGAAGTCCCACCACGAAATGGCATGATACGTGCTTAGAGCATGAATCTGTTGGGTCGCTTGCGAAGACAATAGGGGATATCGAATGCCAAGAGGGCCGGTCCCGACCAACAAAAGTGCACACCATCAGCTTCCCACACCCGGCTGCCGCCGTCACACGTTCCCGCAGCATCTGGTGGTTGCGATAGGCTCGAAGGGCTCCAATATTCTGGCGGCACAGATTGCGGGGTGGCCTGCAATGGCATCTGACTGGTCGTGTTGGATGGCTTCCATGGCCTGGACAGTGCTGAACCCCCGCGTCGAGATACAAGAGCGATTCCCATTGGTGCTTGGTGGTTTTCGCCTCTGTGACTCGAAGGCCAATCGCAATTCGAGGGGACCTGGACGGCAGGAGGGAGTGGTTCTGGTCACGGGGATGGGCGGCAATTTTGTTTATTTCCAGAGTCGAATCGCTGCCGTCGCTGCTATTATAATGGCATCACAGGCCATCCGTCTGCCTGGCTGATTTTTCAGCCGTCCCCTGTTAGGATCGCCGCTTCCGCTGCACGCAATCGCATGGCTTGCTCGCAGGTCGCAGCTCGCTTGTTGATGCTGAGGAGTCGCTTCCAAGTTCTCGGTGTCGCTTGGGACTTCCACCTCGGGAATTCGCCGGTTTTACGCCACTTGGGCAGCTGGGCATGACTGAAGTTTGTTGTTCCTGCTCCGAGGTTTTGACGATGGAGGTGGCGGGGGTGCCTGCCGGCTTGCCAAAGTCAGGACCCATTAGGTAAGCAACCAACCACCCCTCATCGAAACAGAAAAAAAAAAAAAATTCGCGGCTGACAATGGCCGCAGGCACAATGCGAGTTCACCAAGCTCAGCCCGACGCAACCTGGAACCTGGGCCTGCCAGCCTGCCTCCCTCAAAACCCAACCCACAACCTGGAACCCTCGATCCGGGTGTGTGTGGCTGCAATTGAGGCCGGGCATCAACGACCCGCACAGCCTCTTGTTCGGAAAACCGATTCTCGCTTTTTTTTTTTTTCTTGGGCATGGCTCGCCTTTGCCTGCCATGATGTCAGGCCCCAAAACCGCCAATCCGGGTCGACCCTCATTGTCGGTCCCGGCATTTTTGGTTCGCTGAGAGCCACCGACAGCCCCCCAGATCCAAAGGCCCCGGCAGCAAGACTCCCGAACACGTCACCCGGGCGTCCGTCCATGCGGCTTTTGCATGCACTTTCTCAAACCGGACGCGGCCGAGACAGCTTCGTTGGCAACACGAATACCCTTCCGACACATCGGTAACATCAAAACGATATGCGCAACGTTATGCAGAATCGATGGTTTGTTGTGCTTGATCCTCTCAGATCCCCCGGCCTCGTGTGCACCGCTGCCATGGAAAAGCCCCCGTCGTTCCTGTCGCGAACCCTGGTTCCCATTCGGCTAGCCGGTGCTGCAAGCCATGGTTGACCGCCACGTTGCCGAGCCGATGGACTGGACCCAGCACAGGGATTAAGGGAGCATGAGAAAAATACCGACACTGGTAGTTCATGCGACATGGCGACAGGGTGACAGCACAGACCGGTTGAGGCGTTACTTAAGATGCTCATCGTGCCCTCGCGTCCGGCCCAGCCCCGGGAGAAGCACCGGGGGATTACGTGACCCCATGCCATGCAGACGCTATGTTCCGATTAAACATCACCATCCTCGCCCTCGCATGGGCACTGCTCCAGACCCACCTCCCGCAGGTGCATGCCTGGCCGACACCACCGAAGTGGCTCCCGCACTTCAAGAGCCAGCGTCCCCAGGATGATTATGCGAAGCGCAACCTCAAGACCGTCTCGAGCATCTACAATCTCACTGTCTACCCCAACCAGCTGCCCATCTTCCAGCACGGCGGTGTGGGCGTCCCCGACGGCTTATTTAGCAAGGACGTGGTGGGACGCGTCGACCCCGTCGGCAACTTCACCGGGTTCGAGGATTCGATCGAGTACTTTTTCGCCCTGTCCCCGCTTCCCCAGGCCAACGCGGCCAAGGCGGCCATCACGGGCTACAAGATCACCGAGTTCAGCTCCCAATGCCGCGGCGTCGCTTCTTCGGTGGTATACCTCTACTGCAGCGTTGTGGACCCGGGCGGCCCCGACCACGGCAAACCACTACCACCGCTCAAGCAGATAGCCTTCTGGCGGTTCGATAAGTATGGCGCTGTGGTCAAATACGACGCTTGGATCGCGAACCTCAACAGCTGGTTCGAGGCCACGGTCGGCGCCGACGTCACCGACCCGTACTTCCGCGCAGCTAGCATCGAGCAGATCTGCGCCGCCAGCCAGATGCGGTGCCGAGGGCCGAACACCCAGTGGCACAGCATCGAAGAGTGTGTGGCCGCGCTGTCCAAGAAGCGGTACGGCTCGTACGACGAAGCGTGGGGCGATAACATCGTGTGCCGGAGCATCCACCTGGTGCTCACCCAGGTGCGCCCTGATGTGAGTATCCCACCAGGGCTTGGCCATTTTGTCAGACTAGATCTAACCCACCACAGGTTCATTGCGCTCACGTCGGACTGACGGGGGGCGGCAAGTGCGTCGAGGTGTCGTATCCTGAGAACTTCTTTTCCGACGAGACGCTGTACGGGGATCCCCCGGGCCAGACGTTTATGTGTGACGATGAGTAACGAAGTGGGGACGAAAGACGATGAATGCAAATGGAAATGGGGATGGGAATGATAATGGAAAACGATTAATGTGTACACGTATATAGAGCTTACGACGAGATGAGACATGAGGGCGGCAGCACTTGATTTATTCTACGCGATACGGCGCAGACATAATACATAGGAAGGTTTTGAGGGTTTGTGGTGTGCCTTAAATTCGTTGTGCTGTCGCGACTCCAATCCGGATTCAATGCCTTCCTAGGTACCTAAACCCCAACCTCCAAATTGCAGACATTTATTTCCCGGACATGACGCCCCGATTCCATGACCGAACCATTCATCCAGCCCTTTCTCCCATGTATTCCGCACGAGGCAGAGTTATATCGCCCGCCCAACACCCGGCCACTCACTCATCCCCTGCCGTCGAGATAGCCGGTCTTCGTACTCGATAACCACCTCCTCAACGGCGACAATCTTACCCGGCGGTGGTGTGGGTAATGAATCCACGCTGGGTGAGCTCCTCGGCCTGTTCGAGTCTCCAGACACCGACCTCGACATGTTTGGGAGCACCCCCACGCTCACTCACCCCTACCCTCAAACTCAGTCCGCTAAGTCCGCTCAACCCGCTCAGCTGACTCAACCGACTCAACGCGCCCAGCGAGCCCCCGCCCTGCGATGACTTTGCACGAACATGACCACGGCCATAAGAACGAGAATGAACCTGCACCTCCCGACTCCACCCCGACGCCGACGAGCTCATGCTCACACTCCTCCCTCGGCTATACCATCCCGCGCTGCTCACCACCGTGCTACTCCTCCCGACCCCTCCCACCTCCCCCACATACATCTCATTCCCCCCCGGGCCACCTTCACTCCCACTTCTCACTGTCAAGTGGCCACCACTCCCCGCAACAACAGAAACCACCCCACCCCGACCCGGGCCCAGACTCCAACCCCGACCATCACCACCCCCACCACCACTCAACGACCTCAGCTCCCGACATGAATGATGTGAGGGACCCGAATGATAGGAATGGTAAAACCGTGCACTGCCCGGCGGCGCGGGGCGGGCGTCGCGGACCAGGGCCCGGAGGGATGGGGATGGAGGCCGCCACGACGGTGATGGCGGGCTCGGCGGCGCCCAGCAGCACGAGCAGCGTGGTCGATTCGGTGAAGGTCGCGTTGGAGATGGTGGGGAGCTGCGTTGTTTTGGCGAGGGAGGTTATGCCGGCGCTGGGGCGGGGGCGGGGTTGTTAGTTTATGAGAGTGGGAGGGGGGTTTGGGGGTTGTGGTGTGGGTGAGGATAGGGTTGTTGTTGGGGTTATGAAGAGAGAAGGGAAATGGCAAAAAGAAACCTACAAAACACCCATGCTCATCGCCACCATCACGCCCACCTTCTCCTTCCGGTTCATGGTCAAGGTCCAAATAATCTTCCATGGCACGATGGCCAAAACAATGTCCATGGCGCCCGAATACACTACCCCTTGTGAGCACGCATGATCTCCAACATGAAACCATCACAAAGACGCAAACCATCCCACTTACCGGCAGTAAAGATGTTGTAGCAGAATCTGGATCTCCTTAGGCCAACAGTGCCCCTCCAACAAAGGACGCCACCCCTTCTCAATCGGCGTACACTGCGCCCAGGTAATAGCAATAGCAACCCCCAGAGCGGCATTTACTGTGCCGATGATAAACCAGACAAAGGCTTTAGTCCACCCAGACGAGATGCGCAACACGGTGACGGCGAACGAGGTCTTGCTCCACAACGCCGCGAGAATGGAAAAAGAGCCGGCCAGATTGGAATACAAAAGAAAGATATCGAGATTCTCAAAGTTGAACTGAGTAAACGGCCGGCCGAACCCGAGGTTGACACAGGCCGAGATGAAGGCGCAGTCCGCGACCAGAGCGACCTGGACATCGTGGACGTGTTAGACCACCGGAACTGGGACATCATACGAGGACGGGAGCACTCACCCATGACCCTATCAAGAGGTAATCATCCCACCACAACCCCCGGTGTCTGAGAAACTTGCAATACACACGCATCGCCAAAAAGGCAGAAGACAGCGCCGTCAAGAGCCAGATTACAAGGTTGATCTGCGGGCCAAAGTCGGTCGAGGGGGGAAGTCTGGGGGTCGTGGTTGCGTTGTTATTGCCGAAATTCGTCGCCATTTCCATTGTAGTGTTGCGGAAGCCCGTTTCATTCTGACAGGACGGCCAAGGCTGGGCGGGTGTGGGAGAGAGGGTTGACGTAGAGATTCCGGCCGGAGGGACATCGGGACTAGTCATGAGAAGACCGGGGCAAAGTCGCCAGCATGGAAGGCTTTGGCCTCCCCTTGCTAGATGACAGCGACAACAACTCAACGGCTCGTCTTGGCGGAAGTATCATTTGTAATGGGCGTGGTTGCAAGGGTTAGGTAAGAGTGGATCGATACCGGGAGAGCAGCCTGAGAAGACATGGATGGGCGCCTAGAGTATATAGAACTTACAAGCTAGGGTCATGGGTTTCCCAACCTCGATTCAAAAGCTCGTGCCGATTCCATTGCCGACATACAGGACTGGAGCAGGCGAGACGATTTACAGCGATCCCGCGGCACGAACCAGGTGCTATAGTTGAATGGTACCATGCAAGAGAGCGGATGCGGGGTGTATATGGTCGAGAAAAAGGGGGGGAGGGCATCACTCCCTGCTCCGATCTGAGCAACGAAGCTTATTGAGGCTACCTCATGAAGTATGATTCCAAAACCGGCAATATGTGAGACAAGTAAGGCCAGTGTGCTGAACCATGTGGTGACATAGCACACCGGGGCTCGGACCTTTTGCTTGTCTCACAATGCCAATGCCCAACTCCTGGAACCCCGTTCCCCGGATCGACACAAGCACCCGGCATCATGCATCGGTTGGGCCAATCATCTACCATAACAGCTAAATTCGGTCACATTTGGTCATTATTGGCTTGGGGGATGTTTGGATATCTAGTATGTAAGGGGTTGACACGAGAGTAATGGGTTGAGTGGCTGGGTCGATACTAGATCAGGTCCTAGGACACGGCGAGGTTTACCTACCTATATAGGTACCTATATACCTAGACCTCCACTCTGCCCAACTCTCGAATACCCACCAAGATATTCATAAAAGCCGCTAACAATCATACATAAATTGGGCGCCGCAACTCCGCAACTTATAGAGTTGAAGCCTTTCATAAGGGGACCCCTGAAGGGACATTTGGAAGCCTATCTAGGTAGGTAATAGATTACACTTGGCCCGGATGATGGAAGGACACTTCCCACTAAACCCCTTTTCTCTGCCGAGAACGGTCAACCCATGCCCTTTATCTTAGGTCTCGGTATCTTTCCAATCCAACCATGCTGAACAACTCCCACTTCTGAACCCTAATTTTGTGCCGTGAAGGCTGGTGAACACAGGTGTTGGTCGGTTGCCAGTCTTTCGTCTCAAGTATGAACAAAACCCACATTCCCAGACACAATTTACTTACTAAACAACGAGAGATAGATCCCACCGCTGTGTGCAGAGTTCCCTCCCCCGCTGTTTATTGCACGTGCCTTCGACCCGACCTTCTTCTATAACTTTGAATCCTCTCAACAATCGCCACGCGCCTCCCCCATCACAACCTTTACCAGGCAACACCCACCCTTCTTCACAGTTTACTTGCCCTTTAACAACGAGAGCGGCAAGATGTGCCTGACCACCTTTTTCATCTGCCCTTTTTGTGGTATCCGGTCCGGCCGGTCGGAGACGCAGTGCCGCCACGGTCAAGGTAAATGACTTGGGAGCCTTCGAGCAGGAGCGCTGTATGAAGGCACCGCACTTTGTCGACTGGTTCTGCAATGGGGCGAACTGCCCCTACAGCCGCGAGAACCAGCAGATTGCCGAAGAACGAGACCGCGCTTTTCTCGATGCCCAGGAGGCGGGTGACCAAAGCCGCATAAACGCTCTGCGCTCCCCAAGAGCCAACAGTAAGTCATACCAAACACCATCCCCACTGGATGTACGCATATACATCACCTGCTAACATCCCTCCCCCTTTTCCCGCTTCCCAGGCCAAGACCCCATCATCATCTCGGATTCCGATTCTGATCACGACGTAAGAGAGGCGACAGTAATCGAGCTCGACCAAGACCGGGAAATGACAGAAGTACAACCTGACCACGACGACGACCGCGAAATGACCGAGGCGCCCGAGATTCCAGCCGCTCCCGCACGCGCTCCCGCCCCGGCCGCTAACTACAACCCAGCAGCATCATCATCATCAGGATCATCATCCTCAGCAGCCCCAGCGACCCCCGACTCCCAGTTCTGGGCGCGGCAGCCGCCGAACCCGCTCTTCCGGGCGCCCACGCCCATCCTCCAGCGGCCGCCCGTGCAGGAGCTCGCGCCGCCGCCGTACGCGTCGTCCCTGGCCAACCACCCGGCGGCGCACCAGCGGGTGGCGCTGGCGCACGCCGACGTGGAGCGGTTCCTGGGCAACTTTGACGCCGAGACGGCCGCCCGCGTCCGCGCCCTCGCCGGCGCCATCGCCGCCATCGTCGGCGGCAACACCTCCAACCGCTGGCACCCGCTCGAGGATCACATGCTGGAGCTGCTGATGGAGACCGGTGTTTCGTGGAAGTATGCGAATGTAAGTCTTCTTCTTTTTTTGTGCCGTCTTCCTTTTTGTCCCGGGTCGGAATAGGGGTTTGGGTTTGGTTGGAACGATGGCTAACTGTTTTCTAGTTCTTCATTCCGCGACATTCCTACAACGCGTGCCAAACACGCTGGGTCCATTTGAGGAGGCGGTTGGCGGCAGAAAGGGCTGCGCAGGCGGCAGCCGAGGCTGAGGAAGCGGCAGAAGGGGGCGACCAGGAGGTGGAAATGGGCGAGGAAGAGTCGGAAGAGGACGAAGCACCGTCAGAAGCGTCGGAATGGGATGGGGAGAACATATAGGAGGATGCTTGACTTCCTTGTCGGAAGAGGAAGGAAGGTTGTTGTGGTGGAGTGGTAGATACCGTGGGCCGGCCCGAGGGAGTGGGAGTACGGTCAATGTGTTCAATGTTCTGAATCGACCCAAGCAGCTCAAGGCGTTTAGTGACTAGATGAAGGATTGGGTCAAAGGAGAATTTTGTAAGAACGAATATACCCTACGCATTCATGGATCCCCTCTGCAAGTTCATACAACAGATATAATGTGTTATTTTTAGTACGTTTTGGTGTTGGTGGAAGCTAGAAATTGACATGATGGTGGTCGACAGGAGTGTGCAGGTCATGAGGGACATGGACATGTTGATAAACCCAGTCAAACCCGGGCGACCCAACAAGAATCTCAAAATGGGAGACTAGAAAAAAATCGGAACCTAGGCAGGGGTTCTTGACACAAAAGATTAGAGAGCCGCGGGCACGGTCATGCGCTGGACGGGGGGAATCGTTGATACGAACAGGGTAGTAGAAGAGGCTTAGAAAGCGAGGTAGTTAAAGGAACGGGACGGCAGGGCAATCGCCAGGCCGGCGGACGACTTTGACCATCAGCAGGAGACGCTATTCCGGAACGAAACTCTAAGGAGGCACGACGGTCTCAGCAAGGCGAAGAGCTCACTGATTCAAATCCGGACGGGAGCAATAAGCTTACGGGACTTCTTGTTTACACGGGGAGTCCCGGAGGTTCTGACTCCTGCCTGCGAGTGTGGCGAGGGACGAGAGACTGCCGAACACCTGGTAGTGTGGTGTTTGGCCCCACCGTTGACTAGAAGATGGGAGAGAACTGGAATTTGGACACGACGGGACTTTTACTCTGTTCTACACGGCATCAATCCCACGACTGCACGGCTCGCGAGGAGAGTTCTCGACTGGCTGATGGACTCGGGGAAGCTGCCGATGTACAACTTAGCCAGGAGGCTCGAGCTGGAAGCGGCGGCCTGAAGCGCCCCCGTTCGGAGGCCAGGAGGCCTCCTCTCTTTGTATATGTAGGCCCACTAAAACGCATCGCTCCTTGATTGTTGGTATGGGTTTTTCACCCGGCCCGGGAGGGCACGGTTTTCCTGTACACTAAATAGCAGAGGGTCCGGCACGCCCTAGAACATAGCGGAGTATGAATAATAATACAAACATTGTATTAACCTCGTTCTGGGAATTAGTTGTGGCGTAGGGTTTGACCACATGCAAGTAAAAAGAATACGGGTTGATAGGATGAGCGCCAGGCGCCGGGCACAAAAGCTATTTATTGCAAGAGAATTAATTTGTGAAATTCAAAACGCGTACGCATACTTCAGTCTGATAACTTCAACCAATGCCGCAGTGGTGATGCGGCCCTGTTCCAGCCCACGTGCAGCCTTCCTGCTCACGATCACCGACAGGGTTTTCTCTACAGTACGAAAGAAAATAAAAAAAATAAATAAATAAATAAATTATGAGTTTGAGACGGCCCTTGAGATGCCGCCGTTGAACCAACCATTCTGATTCCGGTAGCGCAAACAGCCAGGGGGAAACGACATGGAAGTATTAATGCCAGTGGTGCAGACACCCCTGAGTTGGGTTAAGCGACACAACAAAAGCGGATTCAGAGCGATAAATAGGAGACAGAGGCCATAGCGAAGCAGTGTAGTAACCTGGTTGAAACCAACTTAATCAAGGACCCTCTTAACTTCTCCAATTCCGTTGTCCTGGCTTCAGTTATGAAGGGGGAAGGGAGGTACCTGCTCATCTTCCATCCCATCACACCATTTCCGATCCAGCCACGCACAATTGATTTTCATGCGCCGGCGGGGGAATAGCGGGCAGGCTAACATGTGGTCCTTGACCGACCCCCTTGACCGATCTGCTTGACCCAACAACACATCCCCTCGTTCGCCCAGATCATTTTCATAACCGCCTGACCAGCCACACCCCTCGACCGAATGTGCATCAAAATTATCTTCTTTTGTCCGCGCTGCGAGGTAGACTCCGGCCACTCGGAGATGAGGCGACCTCATGACGGTCCGGACTGCGTGCAGCCGGATATTGTGAGACGGATAATGCAAAGCCAACACTTCGCAGACTGGTTCTGCGAAAACGCGCGTTGCTTGTATAGCAAGCGCAAGCAAGAGGACGCTGGTGATGAGCTGAATGGGATAGAGGAGGACCAGGCCATCGAAAGCATTGGCCACAATGAGTCGGATGGTCGTCGTAGGTTTCCTGCTGGCTTTGCCTCCCGATTCCAACATTGAACGTTGCCAATCCTAATCTTATTTTTCGCTCTTGCATCACAGTCGATGACATGGCCGAACCTAGAACTGACGGCCGAGAGAACTCAGTCGACGGCACCGAGCAAGGCGTGAGCATGGATGTCGACGAGGCCCCCGCCGCTGCCGCTGCTGCCGGCAACGCGCCTGGCTTCGACCCCCAGACCACCCGTCGCATCAATGAGCTGAGGACGGCAATCGCAACCCGTACCCCGCAATCTCGCCCGAAAGAGTGGCTCAGTGAGGAGGAGGAACTCCTCACACTGCTCTGTGGCCACAGGATGAGCCACATCCAAATCTCAGAAGTTAGTTAGCAACTCGGACAGCCCTGAACAATGACTCATTAAGGGAGTATTAAGAGACTAACCTCGTGTTTCCGTCTCGCAGAAGTACGTGACCAGACACAACGCCAATGGATGCATGTCCCGCGTCTCGACGATGAGGAAGCAAGGTCGTTGGACTGGGAACTGAGGGCCGAGCAACTTGTCCTCAGCACTCCCACTTGGGTACCCCAACCTCATCGCGACTGTGTAAGAGGATGATCCCGATCAAGCGGGTGGTTTCAGTTGAGAGTGAGAGGAACGGTCGAGGGTGGGGGAGAAGACGATGGGAGGAAGAAGAGGTCGATTAGGAAACCAGCGAGGGCGTCCAGCAAAGAGGGCCTGAGCCGGCACAACGCCAGGTTATCGTTATGAAAACATGTAGAGGTTGTGAATGTGAGTAGGAACTCGGGCGATGAAAGGGGCCAACTCGATAAGTTCAATGGAACAGTAGGTGGCCTAATCCTTTCAAGGCGATAGTTCCAATTTTGTGATTTACTTTTTGTGCGTGACCGGCTGTTGCTCGGTTAGATAGGGCAAAGATCACAAGGGCAGGAGAGACGGGACGGAGAATGAACAACGATGAGTCAATAAGCAAATTGTAACATAACATATAGGAGGTAACAAGCATTCACACGGTGTTTTGAGTTGAGGCCGCCACAAAGTTGGCCTGTCTCTTCCCTTCTCATTATCTCTTCCCTTCCCAGAACCTTTACTAACCTTTATAAACCATTCTCATTCATTCTGCAACCCTTCCCATTCATTCCACCTTCTACTCTGGTCCGGTACCTTATTCAAAACTACCTACATATCACAACAGCCAGCCACCAGAATGTGTGTTACCATCCAATACACATGCCCACGGTGCGAGGGCCTGACCGGCGAGTTCACTCGGGTCTCATGTAAGCACATAAAGTGCTGCAAGAATGAGCCTGTTCGACAGCCAATGGTGAAGTTGAACCTTGGCCATTGGTTTTGTGGAACCGAGGGCTGCGAGTACAGCCTTAAGGGCCAGCAAAAGCAGGATGACATGGTCAGGCACATCCTGACCTCTCAGTACAAGAATTTGGGTAAGTCCTCCATTTTCCCTCGGCGAGGCGGCCCGGAAAGCTCCGAGCCAAATCACTGCGCGCTCAACTAACACCTTATCGTTTACAGAGAATGACATCGTCCGGCAGAGTATCGAAGATCACAAACCCAAGCTCGAATGGGACAATTCCGACGCGATGGATTTGGGCCCTGAACCTCCCCGCCAACTCTTTGGCCCGCGCCCAGCCCTGCCCCCGGCTCCCGCTCCGGCTGCGGTTCCAGCTCCGGTTCCGGCTCCTGGTCCCACCCCAGCTCGGGCTCCCGTCCCCGCTCACGCTCCCGCTCCCGTCCCCGCTCCGGCCGCCAATCTGGCCGCCGCCGCCAACCCCGCCGTGGGCCCCGCGGCACCCTTCTACTTCCATCGCCCCCAGCGACAGCCGGTCCAAAATCAGGTCCAGGGCCCGCCTGCGGTGCCCGACCTGTCCGCCTTTCCGCCCGCCGACGCCGCCAACATCAGGCGCCTACTGCAGATCATCACGCCCCGAAGGCACGGCACCGAGGGCCAGCACTGGCTGCCCGAGGAGGAGGAGCTGCTGGAGTTGCTCTGCGACGTCTGGAGGATGCCGACCTCGCGCGTGTCGAGGGTAAGTTTGAATTCACCCCCCCCCCCCTCCCCTTCCTTCCCTTTCTTAACCCCCCATCGTCCATTTTGTGGTGTCGGACAGTTGCGCTAATATGTCGTTTTTGTGTAGGACTTCTTGCCGCATCGCTCGAAAAACGGCTGTGACAGCCACCGATCTCAGTTAAGAAGGCAAAGGCGTCTGTGAACAGCAGCCGTTTTTGGTTGTGTGGGGAGGGACTGTTGCTGCTTATTTACAAGAGGAAATGTTCGGTGGTGGGTTGGGGAACAGGTTATTCCTTGTCTTTTTTTTCTTGGAAGGGTCTATCAATGTCGATACTCGGACAGTCACGAAATGTGATAGGTTAGTTGGGAGATACCAGGGATTATTGGGAACTTGGTTAGATTTACTCCGGGCTGTGCTAGGTTGGTTAGATTTGGGGTTGTCACATGGCAAATGGGATTCTTCCGTCTACAACTTAATTATACCACAAAGAGACCGGCAATAACTGAACCAATAATTAGGACGGACATATCATCTTCCTTACCCACAGCGGGGTTCTATAGGGGGTGGCATGCCTTGCTGGGCCTGTAAACGCTTGCCCCAATTGATTTGCATGTTTTTTCAACATGCCGTGCCACCGCAACATGCCATGCCACAGCAACATGCCGTGCCAACCCGCCCCACCTTTTCCAAAGAGTTCCACTCCTTGAACAGGAGAAAATCACTCCTTGAACAGTAGCCCCACCTTTCTGCCGGCGAAATCACTCACCGCCTGCCACTTTCTGCCGCTGGCACCTGCAGTGAAGTCACCGGGTCCTCTACCTCCCTCCAGCGACTGTGAAAGCCAAGGGGCGGACCAGAGGGAGCGGCCCCTTTGCGGGACAAGAGACCAAGGCACCTGAGGCACCGCCTTAACTGCGCCAGCTGTCCTACAGACCTCAACGCCACCAGTCCCAGCATCAGGGACAAATCCGAGGCCGACGAAGCCGTCAGTTCGGCGCAAACGTTCCCAGTGGGAGGAATCTGGTATCGACGAGTTGGAGGAGGAGGCTGCCCTGGTGACGGTCAGGCCGGCCAAGCGGCCGGCTACATCTGCGGTCCAAAACACCAAGAAAATGCAGAAGACATCGATTTCAGCCGCTATAGGAGCTTCAACCTCATTAGCTAGTACCTCGGCCTCCGTCTCGAATGCGCTGGCTGCACCGGTAGGGAAGACTGGCCAGGCATCTCAGCAGTCGCAGGGCTCGCAGGACTGCATTATCGTCCAGCCTAATTAGGCAATCAAAGAAGGACGATGTTGATCACAGTCCCCAGAAATTTGGCAATGTTAATATATATTAGATTCGGAATACCTTCAATGGTGGCCGCAGCGAATTGAACCCTTTTCTCAGTCCGCATGTGTGCACCCCCTTGCGCGTGCTTATTAATTAGGCGGTGAGAGGTTTAGTGGGGCTACTGTTCAAGGAGTGATTTTCTACTGTTCAAGGAGTGGAACTCTTTCCAAAAGAATTGGGAACCCCCTATAACCTTTCTGAAGCCCTGGGTCAATTACAGGCACCAACCATCAACTTCAATATCGAATTTCGGAACGAAGAGAAATGGGTACAATTACGAAGTCGAACAGAGGCACGCGCGAAGAGGGAAAAAGTGATTTATTGAACTACTTGACCAAACTACCTGTATTTAAATGATACGGTGCTCCTTCTTTATACGAGGATATATAGTTGTCTCGAGTTGGAAGCTACTTTGGTGGGGAGGGTGGCATAGCATGTTGCCATGGCATAGCATGTTGCCATGGCATGGCATGTTGTTGTGGCAAGGCATGTTGGCCCTGGTAAGGCATGCCACCAAATTGATTTTCCCACTACGGTACACAGAAAGACCACCTGCCTAGCGCGTCCAAATTTCCTAGGGCATTTATTTATCATGTACTTCCAGTTTACAAACTACCTATCAACAAGAAAAATCTGAGAGAATGTCTCAGGCTAGCTCTCTCGCACCTGGTCTGTCTTTTCGTCATCAGGGTGTTTTACCATTTTTTACCTACTTGTTACCTCAGGAACATTTAGAGTTAGGGCAGCCGAAAGGTAAGTAATGACCTAAGGTACCACCTTATTCTTCCAAAAAAGGCGAAGTTGAGCTTTTCCTAAGGCGGGGTACACGCGTAGTGTCTGGTGGCACCATGTCACCACATACACGTCATATTCAACTTGCCCGAACCCAGAAGAAACAAGCAGGCCCAAGTAACTAACATCACGTGAAAGAAAATAAGCGCAACGGACTCGAGTTAGGCACTTCCTTGGGTGCCTCCCCCCTCGCCGAGCTTACATCATGATTCATTGCTGCTTCATAACTACATCTAACTTCATCCATCTAATCAACGTCATCCATATACCTACCTAAGAGACATGGGTACCACCATTAGACTTGTACCTAAACAAACGGCTTGCAGATTTCGAAAACCGACTCCAACGACCCGATCTGGACGACGGTCGAGGCGGCAAGAAGACGGCGGCGAGCGTTGTCCTCACCGCCTGCCGCAAGATACAGCAGAGACTTAGCTCGAGGAGGGGCAACAGGGGCCGACCGCGAACCTTGGGACCTCAAGGGCCTACGGCGGTGGAGAGAGCCGCGGGCACGGTCATGCGCTGGACGGGGGGAACCGTTGATACGAACAGGGTAGTAGAAGAGGCTTGGAAAGCCAGGTGGTTAAAGGAACGGGACGGCAGGGCAATCACCAGGCCGGCGGACGACTTTGACCATCAGCAGGAGACGCTATTCCGGAACGAAACCCTAAGGAGGCACGACGGTCTCAGCAAGGCAAAGAGCTCACTGCTGATTCAAATCCGGACGGGAGCGATAGGCTTACGGGACTTCTTGTTTACACGGGGAGTCCCGGAGGTTCTGACTCCTGCCTGCGAGTGTGGCGAGGGACGAGAGACTGCCGAACACCTGGTAGTGTGGTGTTTGGCCCCACCGTTGACTAGAAGATGGGAGAGAACTGGAATTTGGACACGACGGGACTTTTACTCTGTTCTACACGGCACCAATCCCACGACTGCACGGCTCGCGAGGAGAGTTCTCGACTGGCTGATGGACTCGGGGAAGCTGCCGATGTACAACTTAGCCAGGAGGCTCGAGCTGGAAGCGGCGGCCTGAAGCGCCCCCGTTCGGAGGCCAGGAGGCCTCCTCTCTTTGTATATGTGGGCTCACTAAAACGCATCGCTCCTTGATTGTTGGTATGGGTTTTTTCACCCGGCCCGGGAGGGCACGGTTTTCCTGTACACTAAATAGCTGAGGGTCCGGCACGCCCTAGGGCATAGCGGAGTATGAATAATAATATACCTACCTAACTTCATCCCTCTAACTACCTACCTGCCTACGTCTATTGTGCGTTTCATCTCCGCAAAATATCATCCGTCTTGGGCTTGCCTATTTCTCGTCGTATCTCTCGTTGTATCTCGCTAACCATTCTGAATTCGTCAGTCATCGCGAAGTACGACTCAGAAGCCACGAGCTTTCACCCCTTATGGCCGACCTTTCCTTAAGCGGCGACGACGGATATGGGTCCGGAGAACAGAACAAGGCGATGCTGGGTAAAATTACAAAACCCGTGGAGGCCTACCCGGCTGCATCCCAGGATCTCCTCTTGGGTCTCCCGCTTGATATCCTAATTAATATCGTGGATCTGATGGCAGATGACCGCGCGACTCTTGCTGCCCTGGCTTTGGTTAACAGCGATTGCAGACAGCTAGCTCTTTGCTACCAGTTTGCCGAGGTCTGCTTTAAATACGAGGCCGACAAATGTGACCCGCTTGGACGGTCAGGTCAACTTCTTCATCGGCTCTTAGAGGAGACCCGCATCCGGCGCGGTAGCAGCGACATCCCAAGCGATACTACCCGCCGATTTTTTGTTGGGCCTTGCATGCGCAGAGTGACAATACACCAACGCATAGAGTGTCTCTCACTGTATGACCACCGTTACAACCCAAACGATGCTCTAGCCCAACCTACAGCCGTAACTCGCTCTGCCAGGCGGCTTTACCAACCCACTGACGCCGCCAGCAAGTACATTACGACGTTCCGCGCCCCTCTCTTGACCGTCCTGAAAGAGGCAATGCCAAATCTCGAGTCACTTTCTTGGATGCGTGGCACGTGCCTTGGCATCCCCTTCTCCCTTGAAACCATTACCCATCTACCCATACGACGTCTCGAGATGTCTGTGGCGGCCAATATGGGGGAACCAACCACCTTCGAAGCGCCCACGGCTCCGGTAGCGCCTTCATGAGAATATCTATCCTTCGGCACTTATATCTGCAGGTATTGCTTCCGGGTTGATACAGAACTGGCCGACGACGCCCATGAACGTGCTCCGACAACGGATTCGCTCTTGATCAGGTCCCTTCTGCGGAGTTGCAACACGACCCTCAAGTATCTCTCCTTTGACGGCATGTGCTTCACCGGCACGGGATCGATTTCCTTCAGCCGAGAACCTATCTTGTTCCCCTGTCTCTAACATCTTTCCCTATTCTATCAAATCGGACTTGGATGCGACGGCTTGGTCTTCACTTTTTTCTGCATCGCTAAGACACCTTGTCTTACCCTGCTTTCGAGGTATAATTCCAACCCCGAATTACAGACAGGCCTTATCCGCCTGTCAACCTTTCCGCTACCTCAAGACGCTGAAGGTGCCGTAGTTTTTTAACCGGGACAGCCCGGAGGGCATGCTAGATATTTTGGGCTTCATTTCACGCCATCCGCACCTTGAAACACTGTCGGTGGGCTATGACATGGCACTGAACATGGACTCACTTCTCCTTCCCTGCCTTTCCGACGGTAGGTAGTCGAATCTCACTTCCCTGAGCTTGGGGTGGCAGCAACCCTGGATCGATAAGAGACAACGACCTGGACAAACCACCTTGACCCTTGCCACAACATCGATTGCCGCCATTGGGAAAATCGAGTCATTGGAGCAGTTGCATCTCAGCGTTGGCGACAGCTATGGGTGGCGTCATCAATGGTTGATCGACCACGACGCGCTGCGGGCAAACCTCAGAGGGTTGAGAAGGCTCAAGAGACTCGCCTTCTCGCGAGACACATACCTTGATCCTGGCGATGGGCTGTTTTTGTACGTGGAAGACTACTATGGTGATCCAATTGTTCCACCGGGGGAGGAGGATGGTGACGCAGAAATAAGATGGACAACACCCCTCGTTAATTGGGAGCGCCTTCACCGCAGACGCATGATTTGGGAAGCGGACAAGTACGTCGCTCTGTTTCCGGGGCTAGAATGGATTTTCTGTGGCGAATGGTCGATGGGTGTTCGAAAGGAGCAGACCTCAAGCGGCGTGCTTCGTTCTGCTGTGTCATAGGCCAGATGTGACGAACCTACTTCAGGACCCTGTCCTGTTAGGGTTCAGCTTCGGTCGAAGGTAATCTCTCAAGGGTGCTTAGGTTCGGTGCAGCCAAAGGGTGCACAACAAAGACTTGTCTCAACAGTAGGCTTCCGAGCTTGTAGCGAATTGTAGTTGTGATTGCTAACTGGAGAACTCCCAGAGCTCTCCAGAACGAGTGACTATATACTATCTGAGCCCATAGGTACCTCTCGTGCCTGTGCTCCCTGGATCGTAGTGATCGCGAGCGACCGTTCGCGATCGCTCCGGCCGTTGACGGCCACCTTGATCGCTACCGATCAAGTCCTTTTCCCAGCGATCGCCTAGACAGCCTTGCTATCTCGATTCTTCTCCCTGATTGGCTGCCTTAACGATTGGTTCGGGTTGCGCCCTGCGCTCCCCGCTCTCCCTACTCGTGACACCAGATGAGGGATTCACAAAGGGCGCTTCTGTGTCGGATGTTTTCTATGACAAAAGATGTATAGCTATGATGGGCTGGGGTCTTAGTAGGGTACCCGAAGGTAACAACGGAAGGGGTTGTACTATTTCTTCTTCTTTTTTTTATTTTTCCTCGTTGCTGACTGGAATTCCTTCAGAGAAGATACATGGCAGCATGGCCTTTCACAACATTAGCCGTCACCTAAAACCCAGCGGGACGTAATCAGCCTCCAAGCAGCCAAACAAATTTATCCTTGCACGGCAAACAGCCGCTACGAAGGGTTTGGTCTCATGCTAAAACAATTGTACAATCAATGTTGTCCTAGCTACATTACAATAAACCTACTCAAGCAACGGCCCCTTACCCTGCTCCTCTAATTCGGCACCCTTGCCGCCGTAGTTGGCCGGCAGCTTCTCCCCCAGCGCAGCTACCTTGCTGTCGGCAAACTCGACAGCCAGGCTGCCGCCGTTGGACATGGGGTGGAACTTCTTGATGGTCTTGGGGGCGACGAAGAGCTTCATGAACGCGTAGACGAAGCCCATGATGGCGGGGACGTTGACGAAGAACTTCTCCTTGAGCAGCTCCGGGTAGTTCTGCGCGAACACCTTGATGGTCTCGGCGCTGGCCGACTTGACCTGTGGCGACTGGCGCAGGAAGCTGATGGACTTGTAGTCGTGCACCTGGAAGATCTTGTACGGGTCGTACTCGGCCGTGATGAGCTTAGTCGCCGACGCGAGGTCCAGTTCCTGTAACGCGAGCTCCATCAGTGCCACTCGCCAGTCGAGGAACCTAGCAGAGGGGTTAGCAGATAGGCTAGCAAGAAGGCAGGTCCATGCCATTTCACGGCCCTCCTATGGAGGATGCAATCCTTACTCTTCCAGCTTTCCAAAGGTCTCGTCAATCGACTTGACGCCGCCGTAGATGTTCCAGGTGAACACCTCCTTGGCCTCGGGCTCGGTGGAGCCATCCTGCACGTACTTGGTGACATAACCCAGGCCGTCGAACTTGGTCTTGCTGAAGGCCTTCTTGACGAGCTCCAGAGGCTTGGTCTTGGCCCGCCACTCGAGGGTCTTAGTGAGCTGGTCCTTGGCCTTGTCCAGGTCGGCGTCGTTGGCATTGAGGTACTTCTGCAAAATGATCCGAGTCGGCACGTGAGTCTCAGGGTCGGCGAGCGTCACGCCCCAAATCTCAGGGTGGCCAGTGGCCTTTGCGGTGGCCCACAGTTGGGTGATGGGCGTTTTATCGTCAACGGGTGCCTTCTCGACGGGGGCCTCCTTCGTCTCGGCAGGTTCCTTCTTCTCAGCAGGTTCCTTCGTCTCAACAAGTTCTTTAGTCTCGGTGGGGGCCGGGACTTCCGAGTCGGCTCCGGCAGTGGCCGGAGTGTCCTGGGCACCCGATGCGTCGGGAGCGGCCGGAGCAGCCGGAGTTGCCGGGGTTTCCGAAGGTGCCGGAGCGGCGGTGGCGTTGTCTGCAGCAGCAGCAACAGCAGGTTCGGGAGTGGAGACGGTGTCGGGAGCAACCGTTGTGGGCGCAGGCTGCTCCGAAGGTTTCTGTTCGACGGCGCTCATCTTGATTGGCCGCAGACTACCAAAAAACGATTGTTTTGACGCAAGTGGAGGGTACACACGAATCGACGCCGTAAAAGCGGCAACGATTGCGAGCGAGGACACTCTTTTGTGGAAGTCGAGCTTGCGTGAGCATCGAGCTTGCTGACAATTTTGTGGGTCGTTTGTGATCTTGAGTGGAGCGGAATCGTCCGGAATTGTGCCCCGCCATAATTATCGGCAGCCGGATCTTTCCGAACAGATCGCAAGCGATCGATTTCTATCGAACCATTGCCCGAACAGGAATCCTAACCCTAATTAATCTGTGTCCATCAAGGAAGACGCACTTGGACACTCTTCCAAGCCTCCAAAAATCATCAACTCAACACTTTGATTTTGACAACCATCCATGAATGCATAACCATTTCCTAAGCCCGGCTCCCAGCCCTCGTGTCGGGTTGAACTTGCATCTCGAAACACCTCCACCAGTATGCCGTTGCCCGCCGTGTTGACCACTCGGGACACGTCGAGGGTGGCCCATTCCCCAGTGATGAACTCCCCGACCGTGTTCAATACCTACCTGGCCGTATGCAGTCAGCCGCGTCGAGTGGTTGTACAACCCGGAGAAGCCTCCGGACACACCATTCGCAACCGAGACCCAGACCGCGTCCTCTGTCGTGGGGAGCAAGAAGCTGATGTACGGTTGCCGCGCATTCACGAAACTGGCCGCATCGCCGCCTGCCGCCTTGTACCAAACAACGAATGTGGTGGGCACGGCGGCCGCGTTGACGAAGAGATGCTGTTCGGGCCGTCTACGCCGAGCCAGATACGGCCGTTTGCGGCGAAGTCATTCTGGCCCTGCGCAATCATGCCGATCGAGGCCGTGTACGCACAGTCCTGGACGCTGCGGCCATACATCTCTTCATCGCATGAAAATTAACGAGCAGCTCGCGCCGTGTCCCCCCCACGGCACAATTCAAGGTTGGCTTCTCGCAAGCTGATATTGCCTCCGCGCTTTGAGGGCCCTAGGTCTGCAGCCAGGCTCAACCCTATAGGCGCTGCTTGACAAACAACAGACACGTGAGCTGCAAGCAACATGAAGGCTGCAAAGCGCATTTCCTCAATCTCATGCTATCGCCGGTCTGACAATCCTGACTCGAGGACTCGGTATCAGTTTGGAAGACACGTCCCCCGTGGGCTTGACTCGGTGGAGTCCGCGCCCGCGTTGTTCCCGTCTGCCTTTCCGTGGAGCTGGTGTGTTGGCGTGCGTTGTGACGCGCTCACTAGGACACACAAGACACGGAAAAAGTGAGGATGACGAATGTCATTCTGTCCACCACCCCTATTCTGCGCAATCCTGGTATTCAACCGCCATGTATTGTCCACCTGCACGACTCACAAGTATGTTGTCGATCGATCACTGACAATGAAGGGACTCACTTACTATGCCCTGCTGGACAAGGCAACCCAGCTTCCCTTACGATACGCAGGCTGTGAATCTTGTCCCACTTCGTGGGTAACAAATGCGTGTAACTTATCAAAGGCAACGAATACAAAACTAGTCGTGGGGTTGCCTGACCGGTTTGAGCAACATGACTGGCCTTGGCCACTGTACTTGATCCGAGGGAAAGAATTCTGAAGCGAAGTCCATGATCTCAAACCCGAGTCTACCAGCACTTGATCAAACACCTCAACGCATGCCCACCCACCCCACGGAACGAAACGAAAGCCCTCCAGGATCTCGAAAATAAGAAAACCGATCTCGCTACCTCTCGCGGCTTTCCTTCCCGCCAGAGGGTACTGCAGTCCCACAACATGGCAAACGTTCCCAGTACCGGCGCTAGCTGCCCCGACGGTGGCAGCTTCTACATATGCGAAAACAACGCGACCGAGTTCGTTGTATGCTGCATCCTGGATCCCTGCGCCGACGACTCGGGCAAATGTCCTCACGACGGCCTCCGCCCAGCCTCCTTCAGTGGCGACAACCACGACGAAATCCCGGAACAAGAGTGCAGCAGTCTCAGCTCGAGGCAAAATGGTACGTCTGCGCCAACGACAAGACCAACTTCATGGGCTGCTGTGATCATGCAGATCCCTGCATTGCCGGAAGTTGTCAGCCAGGGTACATGGCGCCGGCACGACTCAGCTCCAACGTCTCTGACCGCGCAGCCTTTATCGAAGAAGTCATGAAGGCCGAGGTCGCAACATCAGCCTCCACCTCTACCACAGCAACATCAAGCATCGGAAGCGCCTCCGGTTTCCACACAGAGTCTACCACCGACACCACCAGCGCTGCGGCGGGCGGAACCGTAGGACTGCATACCGGCGCCGTTGTGGGGATTACTCTTGCTTCCACGCTCACCGCGATTGCCATACTTACATTCCTGGTCTTCAAATGCCGGGGTGGATGTGGGTTGCGAAGGGGCGGGCGGTGTCACACGGATCATTACGTGGACTCAACCATCATGGACTCAACCATCATGGACTCAACCATCGTGGACTCAACCATCATGTCACACGGATCATTACGTGGACTCAACCATCACCAATCATTTTCAGAAATCAATGGCCACTCATCGGCCAGCCTCACTAATTTCATTGGCGTCCTCGTCAGACGCCCTTCCTCACCTTCTCATCTTCTCACCGAAACCCTTCATGTATAAGAAGACTCAGAATGTCAGATAGCTCCAGAACTTCTCTTTCTCTCTTCATGGACTTCTCGAGGCCATTGAAGATTATTCTTATTAATACACTTGGTTTTGCCGGTTCCCCCGGCAGCTGATTGTTCAAGCCCTGGAATTCCAGCCCTTGTAACAGGTTTCCTTGTGGCCGGGCGGCTCCGAAGGGAACACCCAAAATAATCACACCTGGCGGTAAGTTGGACCCATCAAACTCCAGAATAACGACAGAGGATAAGGCAGAGTCGGTCTGACCAGGACGTTAATTAGTCTCAGAGCTTCAAGTGGTTGCGCCGGGACAGTTTATCACGGGGCCGGTAAATGGCCCGATTTCGCCCTCTGCGCAATCCTTCGGTCCCAGGCATCCATTCCGGGAAGCGTGGATACCAGAACCGACCGTTCCTGTCTTTGTTGAACTTGATGGAAACCGCTGGACACCGTCAAATGGACGGGCACAACCCAGCGGCTACATGGCAAGATCATGACCTTGTTGAGGGCTTTCACAGACCCCGGTCGCACTTTTGCATTTCAGTCGCAACCGTATATGGGCGTCGGGGGTATGGTCCCAGCCAGACACGCGGTCCGCAACGCACTAACTATGACCCAGGCCAGCCCACAACTATGGTTTGGCACCGCGCGCCCCGGAACCCGAGACACGTTTGTCAATATATGCAGGCTTTCTGCGGTTGGCGCGAAAAACGGGAGGGGGCAGTGGGTTGTGGTTCATCTGGACTGTGGCCGGCTTGCATTCCAACCACTACTTAATATTGTTGTTTAAATGCACTGTCATTGTTCAGCCCCCCCTCCATTTCGCCAAGGGGGACCCGAGACTGTGGCGGATGCCTCTCATTAGCATTGTGCGATCTATCATCTGCAATATGCTATGTTAAAAAGAACCGCGCTCATGATTGAGAATGCAAGTTCCCAAAGTTATAAGGCCTGCTCATTCCACTCTTTGAAGTCTTGCCAAACCGTCACCTGGTTCAGGTATTGGCATATTGCCCTGTTCAGTGTTAGTGCATCTGGCAGCATCCCAATCACAGCTGACTACGAGTCTACGATACGATACCAACCCAGCCAGAACCTGACTGCCATATCGTCTAACCCACTGCGACCATGAAGATGCTGCTCTGGATCGCTCTCCAGCTCGGCCCAGCATGGGGGGCAGCACTGCCCGAAACCAAACCCTCGTTGGATCCGATCCCCCAACACATGTCTCCCTTCCAGCTCGGCGGCCACACTAAACCCGAGGACTACGGGCGGCCCGTCAACATCGACCTGGAAGTGTGGACAAGGGGCCAGACACAGCTGCAATGGTACGGCGAGATCACCGTCGACACTCCGCCGCAGAAATTGTAAGTGGCAATCAAACCGACCCATACACCTAGGTCTGGTACCTACCTCATCCCATTTCTGACCCCCCCTCACAGCAAACTCATCTTCGACACGGGCGCCTCGCTCATGCTGATCGCCCACAAAAACTGCACCACCTGCGGCAACCACCCACTCTACGACCCAACCGCGTCGCAAACCTTTTCCGCCCAGCCCGGCTACAAGCTCGAAGTCACCTTCGGCAGCCAAGGCGGCGGCACCACCTCAACCCCCGAAGTCCAAGGCGCCAACTGCACCGTCGTCACCGACACGGTGCGCATGGGCGGGCGCGGCCCGCCGGCCAGCGAGTTCCTCATCTGCGACAACTACTCCTCTGGCCTGCGCGACCAGCCCCCCGACGGCATCTTCGGGCTGGGATCAACCCCCTACGCGGTATGGGACGAGACGCAGGGCGCCAGCACCGCGTACTAGCCCGTGTTCTGACACCTAGCCGCGACGGGGCAGCTCCCCGCGCCGGAATTCAGCTTCTCCTTCGCGCGCGTGCCGCGCCGCGCGGGGGTGCTCACGCTGGGCGGCACGGACCGCTCGCAGTACGTGCCCGGCACGCTGCGCACGATCCCGCTCAACTGGCCGCTGTCGGAGTCGCGGTGGCGGTGGGTAGTAGATGTGCGCGGGGCGCGGGTCGGGGACGGGCCTATGTTAGCGAACTCGACCGATGCCGTCACGCTGGTGGATACGGGCGGCGCGACGATCATCACGCCGGATCGGGAGATGACGGCGGAGCTGTACGGCCGCATGTCGAGCGAGATTCGGCCGCTGGATGAGCGCGGGGCGTGGGGGGCGCCGTGTGGCGTGCTGGATCGCGCGGCGAGGGATGTCTTGGGGCAGAGGAAGTGCCTAAAAAGGATTGAGGTTGTTGCAGCTAAAGCTGCAGCAGCCGAAACTACATAAGAACTGTGAGTGGGCTTGTGCACAGGCCAACCTGCAGGGCGCTAGCCCTGCAGGTGCCAACACAGCCCCCCAAGCGCACACACAGATGCGAAGCTATACTACGTACAGAGGCCCTTCCCAATGCGGAAGTTGTGATACTTTAACATGGTGTTGATCCTCCTGAACAAAGCCTCCTTGATGGTCCCAGCCTGCCACGTGACCCCAGATCTTGTTGTAATTTCCATTTAGATCCATGCAGTCCAACCTCCATTTGTTGACTGATCCACGCCGACTGCTCCTATCAGACACTGCTCAATCGGCCCGGATCTTCCCTTCACGGAGAGGGGGAACGCAGAGACCCAACTGTTTGACGAACTGAGCGTGTTTCGCACCACTCAGGCCCTTTGTAAGGCCGTCAGCTACCATATCATCAGTGCCGACGTGGTCCAGTTGGAATTGGCCCATGGCCATGCGTTGGATTATCCATTTGTACCGCAGGTCAATGTGATAAGTTCTGGCGGTGTTAAGAGGGTTCAGGGCAATCGCCCTGGCGTTGGCTGAGTCGGTAAAGAACAACAGAGGCGCATTCTGTTGATACCCAGCGTCCTTCAATACATTGGCTACCCACAGTAGCGACAGCGCCGTAGGCGTCAAATTGATGAACTCTGCCTCAGTGCTCGACAGAGTGACGAGTGTTTGTTTCTTGGCCTTCCAGACCACAGGGCAGTTGCCGATCATGACAACGTGACCCCCAACCGACACGCGTGTCAACAGGTCGGTCGCGAAGCTGGCATCGCCATAAGCCCGCAGTTGTAGGTTTGAGGGCGTGATACCTCCACCACAGCGAATTCCAAGGTCGCGCGTGCCCGAGATGTATCGCCACAAGTGCTGAAGAAGTTGAAGATGGGCGCTCGAGGGCCCCGAATTTGCCTCGCCCAGTCGCATGGTAGTGTAGGATATGTCGCTACGAGTACCGTTTGCCAGGTAATTGATGGCGCCGACTTCTGATTGATACCCCTTCGTGGCTGATTCAACCACATCGTAGGTCTTCGGAAGATTGAAGCCGCCCGTGATCCAGGGAGTCTTTACTGCGTGGAGGTTCGTCTTGCCGAATCGCTCCAGGATCTTCGTGACGTAAGTCGCCTGATTGACGTAGATAACACGGTTGTCGCGATCGCGGAACACCGTATAACCAAGGAAAGTGCGGGCCTCGCCCAGGCACTTCAGCTCGAAGATGGAACCCAACACGTCGGCGACCTTATTGATACTCTCGACAGTCGGCGCCGCAAGAAGGAAGTCGTCGACGTAGATCAGAAGCAGGGCGCCATTTCCGGTATGTTTGAACATGCAGCCGTCTGTTGTCAACGGCTCAAAGTCCAGTTTCTTGAGCTCCGGAACGAGGGTCTGGTACCACCACAATGACGAACGTTGAAGGCCATAGAGGGCCTTTACGAGGCGGCACACTTTATCAGTGCCATCCTCGAACCCTGTGGGTTGCCGGACGTAGACATCCACGTCGTCAGGAACAATGGCGTTCAGAAACGCGCTCACGACGTCAAACTGGTGGCACTCGAGGTCCAGTGCAGCCACAAGGTTGAAGAAGATACGGACTGTTGATGCATGTACAACAGCTGAGTAGACCTCGTACGGCTGGTAGTCGCCATTCTCGAAGTTACCACAGACAACCCAGCGGGCGCGATTCCGCACCCAGTTGCTTTGGTCGTCAAACTTCTGGTCGAATACCCACTTGCCAGGGAGAACATTGGCGCCAGGAGGCCTGTCAACCAGCTTCCAGGTGCCAGACGCGATCAATTTGTCGTATTGTTCCTGGCAAGCAGGTTGCCAGTGCGTATAAAAGTCAGTTCGCTTTGACGCTTCCTTGTAAGTCTTGGGGATCTTGGCGTGGGTAGGTGCGAAGAGGTCCTTATTGTCAATCACTGACATGATCATCTCTGGCGCCTCAAGCTCAAACTGATCAAGATCCACGAAAAGCCCTGCAAGCAGTTTTTCAGCGGCCTCTTTGCCCTTGCTGTTGAGGGTTGAATAATAACCAGGTGGCAAGGCCCCTCGACGTGGGCGTGTCTCCTCAGTGTTGAAGATGCTGTCGTTCCGAACTTCCTGATCTTCCTGATCCACCATGCCTTCGGTGTCAAAGTGGTCGTCAGCCCCCGCAGGTTCAGGGGTCGGTTCAGGGGTTTGGAGGCCAGTGTCAATGTTCTCTGGCGTGTCGGCTTCCTTGTCAAGTACAGCGGAGTCCTCCACAATGACAGGGTTGTCGTCAAACTGCACCTTATTCGCAGGTGTAGGGCGGTCGACGACGTCGTGATCAAGGTAGACAACTGTCTTGAAGAACTCGTCCTCGTGGTAAACATCCTTGAAGGTTGCTTCGTAGATTGGCTCGTTGTCGACAGTTGTGTCGTCAGGCTCAGTCAGTTCCTCAATGAACCGCGCATCTCTGGCGCGTACAATACGCCCACTGCATTCAGTCGGATGCGGTAGACCTTGCCCGAATTGCCTTCGTAGCCACAGAGCTTCCCCTCAATGGCCTTTGCCAGCATCTTGCGGCCCTGTGGTCTAACCTTCTTATCGTGGATGTGGACGAAGGTGATCGCACCATACGCCCTGAGGTGGTGGATGCGTGGAATGCACTGATCCCGCGCGAGACCAAGCGACTCACCCAGTGTTTGCATAGGTGACTTGTCGTCTGTATTGTGGGAGGTTGGCAGGCGGTTCAAAACATGAACAAACGCCTCCTCCGCCAACGGCCAGTATTCTTCAGGAAATCCCGCCTCCAGATTCGCAGTGCGGGCGCCCTCAACAATGGTACGGCCTGCGCGTTCTGCCATTGGGTTCTGTTGCGGACAGTTTGGCGATATGGGTGTCAACTTCTTGCCACGAGCAAGACACCAGTCCCTCAGCTTATCCATGCTGAACTCGGTGCCATTGTCGACATGGATCTCTTGGACTAAGGTCCCTGATTGTACCTCCACAAAGACGATATAGTTGGTAAGCGCCGTGAAGCCATCCGACTTGCTTCCAATGGCGACATACCAATGGTAAGCAGAGTACTGGTCAACGATGTGGATGGCGTGATTCTTCCCGCCAATGCCAGTAGGCTTGTGTGGAATGGAGTCGACGTGGATGCGCTGCAACGCGCGCGACACTGCGGGCAGTTTGTCGTGGGATATCAATTGCTGCGACTTGCCAAGATAACACCACTTGCAACGATGGCTACCTGCATCGCGGGTGTTAATCTTGATACCTGCTTGCCTGCAGGCTTTGATAACTTTGTCCATTGACGCGTGCATCAAACGACGATGCATGACTTCGTAGTCAATGGCGGGGAGAGCCAGATGCTGAATGGCAACCAGGACGACTTCAGTACTCTGGACCGGAATAGAATTTAGTTTGAAGACCGAGATGTCTCCAACCCAACCGAGCTGTGCGACTTCCTGAGCAGGGTTGTCCTTGAGGATAAGACGGTCAGTCAGACCGTCAAACACCGCCCCACGGCGACGCAGTTGCCCGGTTGACACGAGATTGAGAGGCGTATCCTTGGAGTAAATGGCGTTGCGGATGGTCAAGTTGGTAAGGCCACCGCACGACCGCTCGCATGAGAGAGAAACCACACCTCCCAGGGCGTGATTCGAGGTGCCGCCATTTGCAGAGGCGACTTTAACAGGTTGATCAAGCTCAGACAGGTCGTCAAACCACTTGGATTCGTTGAATACGCTGTTTGAAGCGCCCGAATCTAGGCAAACAGTGTCCCGAGTGATCTTTGAGTCTGCAGAGATGGATCCAACTACTGCAGAGGCGACGACTTTGTCTGCAGCCTCAGAGGGCTCAGCACCGTCGTCAGCAATGTCAAGGTTGTAGACATCAATCGCTGTCATCAGATGGACGGTGTTGATCAAGGCATTGGCCCTATTGTTGTTGACGCCGTTCATGACGCCTGAGTCAAAGTTGAATATGCCACGGTTGGCGTTGTTGTTGTTCCCACCATCAGGCGTACCGCTGCTGTTGGTGTTGCAAGTGTTGCTTGACGCGTCGTTTTTCTTCTTACGCGCATGGTATTCCTTCTTTTTCTCTGGGTGCACAACCCAGCACTCATCATTGCCGCCAGGATGGTGTAGTTTGCAGATGTCGTGGTACGGGTGTCTCGGGGTGCTTGGATGGTATTTACCGCACCTGGGGTCGCCGCAGAGTGACCCTGACTGAGCGCCAGCTTGTTGTTGTGACTGAGGCCGAGACTTTTGCTGTCCGGCTTGCTGATTGTTGCCCTTCTTGGCGGTTTGATTCGACGTGGCCGACATGTTGAACATGGTCTGTTCGTTAGCCTTAGTCGTGACGAGGTTGAGCAGTTTCTCGTAATCCAACTGTCCAGTCTGCAGTTGGAAGCGAAGCATGTCGACCCAGTTGGCATCGTATGTCTTCAAACCCAAAAGGAGTTGCGCCTGTAGGAACCTGTCTGGAAGGTTGATGCCCACGTCCTTGAGCTTCGCAATCAGGTAATGGAAACGCGAGACGAAAGCGCGCAAGGTGTCGTAGTTGCTGGCGTTGATCTGGGAGAGTTCCCACACCATACCACACCAACCTTCGTCGGACATGCCTGTCAAGGCTTTGCAGGTCGCAAGGTAAAGCTTGTATGGGTCGAAGTCGTCCTCGGCATACACGTAGCCGTTGCTCTTGATTATGTCCCTGACCGGGGCGACTGACTTCGAAAGAGCCGCGTATGCAACAGTCTGTTGGACGCGGAACTTGTTCTTCTTCTTGGACGACGCATTCGCGGGAGGCTCAACAGCCGTACCATCGAGGAACTTGGTGATGTTGAGAAGGCGAAATGCGACACGAACTTCCAGCTTCCACTCCTCCAGGTTGTGGTCACCCTTAAGTGGAATGATGGTAGGCACTGTGATCTTGGTCAAATCGAGGTCATCATCGTCGCCGTCGTCGATGATGTCGTTGTTGGCCGGCGGGAGGCCAGCCAGAGGGTTGTCGTTGTCGGGCATTTTGACTTGACTGGGAGATCGCGCACTTTTAACTTCAAAGTAGGCGACAAGACGATCCCGACGCGTTCAAACGCTTGTTTGAATGCCCTGTCGAGAGAGAGAGAAAGAGATGCGGTTGACTGGCGCGACTGACTTTGCGCAGTCTTCCTGACGATGGTGGGGGTCTGCGACCAGGCCACCAGAGAGCGATTCAGCCGCTGCAAGCAACCAAAACACCAAAAGAACGCGGCGATATTAATCCCCTGACTAAAAGAGGGCTTCAATATTGCCAGAAAATGAAAAGGGAACACAGAGGAAAACGTGAGGGCTCATAACCTCTTGGGGCAGAGGAAGTGCCTAAAAAGGATTGAGGTTGTTGCAGCTAAAGCTGCAGCAGCCGAAACTACATAAGAACTGTGAGTGGGCTTGTGCACAGGCCAACCTGCAGGGCGCTAGCCCTGCAGGTGCCAACAGGATGTGACGTTTGTGTTGGGGAGTGCGGAGCGGAAGGTGGAGGCGGTGGTGAAGAGGGAGTATGTGAATGTGGGCGAGTATCCGGGTATGCCGGGGATTTGCCGGGGCGTGTATACAGATCCGGAGCGGGTGGCGCGCGAGCTGATCCATGGCCGGCCTGCGTGGATCGTGGGTACGCCGTTGCTGCGGTCGTATTATACCGTGTGGAATGGCGTGAAGCGGACGCTGGGGTTTGCGACACCGTCTCATCGGGATAAGGCGTGAGTGCAGAGTTCGGTAGTGGTGAGGGATGTTGTTGCCTAGGTGCAAGGGGTCGCTTGAGTCTTGACTTGGAGTGGAAAGGGGTCAGGAGTCAGGGGCACTAGTTGCCGACACCGGATGATGCAATACTTAAATCACTCCTTTCTTTTACTCAGGCTCACGAGATATTTTGGCTTGCGGTCTCATGTGAAACAGTTGATCACCAGTGCAAGGCTGAGTTGACGGGACCAAAAGTGGTCGGCTGACAGGGACGCGCGATCAACTATTGGTCGCCTGCCACTTCGATGTGCCCCTCCCACGTGTTGTCTGCATCCCCCTTCCCCCTCCCACGAGCTGCAGCTCATAAGGCAAGCGATCACAGCTCAGGTAGGGGACTTTACGAAATTGTCTGAAAAGAACCATGGCTGCCTTTCCTTGGCTTCCTTGGGTGTCCCGCGCCGAGCCCAGAGGCAAAGGTGTCTCAGGAGGACAACACTGACCGAGTGCACCTGGGGTCCTCAGGTGTTTGAAAACGGCGTCGACATGGTGACTTTGTCGCAAATAATAGTCTGGACATGTTAATATAAGGTGAAGATGAAGGGGGGCCATGGGAGACCGACACAACTTTTAACTTCCTTTTTGCGCAAACCTGAACCAAAACCTTGATCCAACTGAACAAGTTAAATCCCTCGAAGAAAGAGTCAACTCCCCCAATATCAATACCACACGATTCCAGCATTCATTCTCATCACCCCGTCCCGAATACTTAAAATACGGGCAGCACAACAACAGAAAACACCCACCCACCAGCCCAGTAATCCATCCCCGCATCCCGGCCCCCAAGATGACCCGACGGCGCGGCCTGGTGCAGTGGACGGACTGGTGCTCTACCTGAGGGCGCCACGTCACCTTCTACAGCTACCGCTGCCACTAC